TTTCCTTCCCGGAGCTCTCCGTAGCGACCTCGGCAAGGAAACTATCAACCCTCCACCTCTCTGCTCTGCCTTTCCTCCCAGGGACGTGCCGCTAGCTGGAGACCACCATGACGGACTCGAAGTACTTCACCACCACGAAGAAAGGTAGGAGGGGGAGCGGGAGGGTCACGCAATCTTCCCCAAAATAATCAGGCTTTTCTCGCAGCTGTAGAAGCCAGGCGGGGAGGGCTGTCCCCGCAGTGGGAAGCTGGCGGAGGTGCCAGCTCTCGTGGGAATGCCCTGAACCCACGCGGGATGCTGTGGCAGACAAAAAACTCGCTCCGATGCAGCCGGGGCGGCTCCTGGGCTGCTGTGGGGTCAGAGCACCTTGTCGCCGGCCCCCTGAACCCAGACAAGGCTGTTGGCAGCTGGGTGATCGGCTTTAGCAGCTCAGGAGCAGCTGCGGGACACGGTCGTCGGTCCTGTCCCTGTCCCCGTCCCCCCCGAGCTCCCCTGGGCTGGGACAGAAGCGCTCGGGGTGTTCACCTTAAGCGCTTTCCAGACCAAGGAATTAATGTGCCTGCCTGGGAGTGAATAAAGAGCTCAGCGCGGCTTCGCGAGGGCAGGAGACGATTTCTTTCAGCCGGGTCCGGAGCCGCCGGTCGACCCCAGCGAGGTGCTGGGCTGGGGGATTGCTGCCACGAGCGGAGCGGGATTTGGGAGCCACCATCCCTTGCGCAGGCTTGAGGAGCAGTTCCCAAAAAATGTGCCCGCGTTCGCTGCTGCGGGTGCCTGCTATCCTCTGGGCTGCGGTGGGCTCCCCAGGTAGAGGAGGGCCTCCCAACAGCCACGCGCGGGGCTGGGGCTTCCCTGTGTGCTGCGATAACCACCCCGCAGCCAAAAATACCTGCCAAATAAACCCCGTGTCCTATGCTTGAGGTGCGGGGTGCTCGTGCTCGTCACTCCTGCAGCATCTCCCCTCCCTAAAGCCCTCTGCGGGCTCGTCTCCGTTTCCACGGATGAGAGCTGAGCCCCCAGGGCAGCCCCGGCCCTCGGCGAGGCGTTTGGGAAGTTAAATCCCCCTTTCCAGCTCCTGGCACCCCGGAGCACCCGGGGTGGCAAAGGAGCCCCGGCACGCAGCAGGTGGGAGCTGTGCTCGCCCTCCCCAGCAGAGAGGTGGGTGCCCCATCCCCCGTAACCCTTGAGCTCCCCCCTTTTCCCTTTCCTCCAGGGGAGATATTTGAGCTGAAAGCCGAACTGAACAGCGACAAGAAGGAGAAGAAGAAGGAGGCCGTGAAGAAGGTGATCGCCTCCATGACTGTCGGCAAAGAGGTCAGGTGCGTGGCGGTGCTGTGCCGGGGATGCCCGGGCCAAACCGCGCCGGGAGGGTGCCCGGACGGCTCGTGGGCTCCTGTTTTTCCCTGTTGCCTCCGAGGGCTTTTTCGCGCCGGCTTTTGTCTCGGGTGGGGACCGAGCGAGCTGCTGGCCACAGCTACACCTCTTGCTATGGGAGGAGAACGTTTGTGTAAGCGTGGCCGTCTGGCAGGCGGGGGTTTGCCTGGCTTCGGTAGTAATCTGGCTGAAAGAGGATCGGTCTGGCTGCCAGATAAGTTTGTTGGGATTATCGCAGCTTCCTTCAAGTGTTAACTAAAACCAAGCGGAACCGCCCTCTGAGCCTTTATGGCAGAGGGTCAGCGGCTCTGCCTCGGTGGGGTTAAGCCTTCTGGGGTCAGCGGCTCTGCCTCGGTGGTGTTAAGCCTTCTGCAGCCACTCCAGTCCAAAAGGTCGGGCGTCTGCTTTTCTCTCTTCTCCTTTATCTGCCTGACCGAGCGGCACGTGGCCCCTCCATCTCCTCCTCCCTGCACGGACCCATCCCCGCACACCCTGGGCATTACACGCGACGTCGGCGCTTTGCTTTTAATGGTGCATTTGAGAGTAGACGGAGGAAAACCACGGTATGAGCTCTGTATTTGGAAAACCGGTGTGTCCCCGGCTCCCAGAGCGCTCGCAGCAGCAGGTAACGCTCTGTCTTGGGGCCGCCTTGGAGAAGATGACACCGGCCGTGGCAGGGACTTGCCCGAGGCTGGTCAGCGCTCGGCAGAAGGAGATATCGGCTGTGGCAACCCGTTTTCTTTGGTGTGTGCGCATTTTAGGCTGCAAGAAAGCGGTTTCCTAAGTTCACCCCTCCCTGGCGGGGGCCGGGAAAACCTGGTTTAGCCTGGGGTGAGAGCAGCTGAGGTGGGCGCCAGCTCTGCTGGCAGCCGGGAGCTCTGCGAGAGAGCTGGCAAAGTGCGTTACCCCGGGCTCAGGGGCGCCCTGGGTTTGATCCTCCAAGCGATGGCTGGGTTTGCGGTGGCAGAGAAGCTTCCAGGAGCCGAGGGACGTGTGTCAGGGTGGGATAACTCCTGCGTTAGCTCTCTGAGCTTGATCGCTTCTCCTAAGGTGGTGTAATAGCCTAATTGGGCTGTCTGTATCTTCAGTAGCCTAATTGGGCTGTCTTTATCGTCTGTGGTGAGACAGCGTCTCTGGCATCCCGCAGCTTCAGGGTGTTCAGTACTCGCCGGGATCAGGTTTGGGAAGGGGGAAGCCCCCAGCTCCACGCAGACAGCTTGGCAGCTCCGCTCCGTCCTAGCGGAGCGTTGTTCTGCTGCAGGGCTCGCCCCGGGGAGCGGGGCTGTTCCTTGCACCCAGTCCTGGGCGTTCACTTCTCTAACGTGATGTTTCTAGCGGAGGACGTGGGGCGAGCACTCGGCAGCTTGCAGCGGGACGGGTTTAACGTCCGCAGAAGCAGAGGACCGTTCTGGTAGCGCTGTACGGGAGGGATCGTGCAGAAGGCGAGGGGGGAGCGGCTCGTCTCCGACGTCCTCTCGCAGGCGCCGGAGGCTTCCGCACCGTCCCGTGACGGCTGGGTGGTGTTGCACCTTCTCCCGGGGCAGTGGACACGCACCGGAGCTGGGATACGGCAGAGCCATGTGGGAGAGCTCAGTTTCTGTCCGTTAGGGGCCATTTTGAGCTGCTCTTGATACGGATCCGTAAAGAAAAACCCACTGGGGATGGGTAATTTAGCCACCGCTGTTGCGGAGTGGGCTCAGGCCCTGGGAGAGCCTGGGGTCTTCTGGCTTCAGGAGTGGGTTGAGCCATGTGAAGGGGGATGGCCCCTGCTCCTGGGGGGGTGCGGGGGTCCCATAGGCGGCGGCGGCTCCTTCCCCCGGCTTGGCAGCGTGGCCGTGTCCTGCCTTCATGGAGGCGCTTTGTGTTTCAGCGCTCTCTTCCCGGACGTGGTGAACTGCATGCAGACAGACAACCTGGAGCTGAAGAAGCTGGTCTACCTCTACCTGATGAACTACGCCAAGAGCCAGCCGGACATGGCCATCATGGCAGTCAACACCTTCGTGAAGGTGAGGGGAGAGGGCTGCGTGCCCGAGAGCCGCATGCGGCAGCGGGCCGGTTCAGCCCACTGCGTGCGCCCTTGCCTTCACGC